TCTCTCTCTCTCTCTCTCTCTCTCTCTCTCTCTCGCTATCAAAATTATCTACTTTTTAGACCAATGGTAATTGATATTATAGATTTTCACAATAATATTTGGCAACGCTACCTAGTTGTACAATCGTGATTGAAATGTTGGAGCCGCGGCTCTGAACCGCGCCAACAACACGGTTTTGTTTCTAATATTTCAATACTAATTTGCATAAAATTTAAGAGAAATTATAATTTGTTATTATAAATTATTAGTAAAATGCTGGTTGAGTTCATATGTTATGCTATACTATTAAAATGCAATGATATATTTTGTGTATTACATGCATTTATTGCATTATTATAACACCGGCTCCACAAATGATATTGCATTTTTGCTATAACTTGGCTGTAATTGCAATTTATGTTAGTATGAGTAGAATTAAACAAATAAAAAACTTTTTTTAAAATTAATTTTTGTTTAAAATAACAACATTAAAAATTTTCTTACAATAAATTTAAAAAATTTGACGCATTTTTCAAAAATAAGTAGCAAAATCCGGCCAGGTTACAATCTACAGGCATTCTAAACAACGTACACATACTGTATGCTGTGCACACATAATAGGAACAGTTGAAGTGACACTATTGGAGACTATGGACAAAATGGCAAAAATTTAGTAGTTTTGAGATTACTTCTATAATAAGAGGTCAAGCATATTGACCATATCATAACAAAAACTCCCGCAGTTGATGAGTATTTTAATATGTCATTTGTATTTCCAGACCTAATACCTTTCGAGATATTCGACTTCGAAATGTTATAGTCGATTAATGTACACCCTGTATTTAAGACATGTTAATAAAAAAATTAATTTAAATAATTACCCTGTTACTTTTGCAGTGACGATTGCACTCATATCTGTCCGAACCAAAGGGTCCTTTACAGCCAAAGCCACGTTTAGCCCTCCGGAGCTCAACGGTCTGACCACTGGCCGACTCTGTATGGCATAGAAGGGCTAATACAACCAATAGAGCAATAAATGCAACACTTTTATTGACATTCATTTTTGTAGTTATAATAATTTTAAACACTTTTAATTTGTTATAATAACTATTATTTCTACAAAACTCACGCTTTTATACCCAGACTTCGAAATCCTATTTCAAAGTTTTAATGTAAGACATGTTTTGTGCAAAAAAACTGTATTTTTGTCTACTTTATGTTTTTTGTAGCTTAATAGGAAATTTATTTTATTTCAACCATGTAAAAAATCAGTTTACAAAAGGATGTTGGTGTTAATATTAGTATTATTAATATTGCTTGTAATAGATGAAATTTGTTTCGCGTTAATTACGCTAAAAACAAGGATTGCACGGCAATGCGATAGCTAAACCATAATTTTCATACTTAATTGTAGTTAGAAATAAGTCAAAATTACTAGTAATTTACGTAAACATCACAATAATTCGTATAAAAATGAAATCACAGTATTTTATGTGCATATAATTAGCTGCTATTCATTATAAATAATAGATAATTTTGAGTATTTAACTATTAGTTATGCAATTGATTATTTATGATCATGTGAGTTTAATAAAAACAAGTTATTTTATTGTAAAGATTTACATAATATTTTTAATGCAATGTTTTTAATATCGAAAAAAATGTATACAAAATATAAAAATTTATTTTACAAATAACGCAATTAATATTTTAATACTATATTATAAATTATAATAGTATTTGATATGAGATTACAATAGACAACAATTTGTATAATTTTAATACAAAGGCATTACACTATTTCTATAGTCTAGAAAATATATTTTATGTATTCATAATTATTTAACAAATTAAAAAATTAAAAAATAACATTTATTTTTATTAAAAGTATTAATAATGCCATTAATCGTCACTTTAATTATATTGATATTTATTTTCGCAAAATTCAATTATTTGTAACAAATATTTAAAGCATTTTTGCGGTAAAAGTATTTTGGGATTAAGTTTTCAATGACTTGAATGCACTTTAATTTAGGACTTCTGGACAACAGATCCGAGTAATCATTATCCGAGAGATCAACAGATTCTGCGTCACAACCGAAGTGAATGACAAGCATTTGCAGCGCCGGTAGTCTTGAGAGGTGTGACAAACACTCGGGAGTGATGTTAGAAAAGTTACCAATGAATAGATATTGAAGTCGTGGACAGTTTTGATGCATATCTTTCAACACAATTGGTTTTATACCCAATAAACAGAGCTCTAAATGCGTTAATCTCTTGCAGTGTCTCAACGGATCCAACAACTGGTCATCGATGGCCGCATACGATGTTATATGTAATCGTTTTAATTGGCGATAAACTCGTAACCAATCTAATGATATCTGGAGCGCGGGTTCGATGTCCTCGGAGATCAGTTGGAATGACAATCGCTTCAATTGTTTACAATTCACACCAATTGTACGCAAACACTGGTTCACGACTGCGGACTTCTGGCCGTTCAGTACTTCAAACCCTAACCCGAGTGTCAGTTCCCGTAATTGCGATAATCGTGACAATTGTCCGCACATTTCGGTCACAGACACAGAATCTTCAAAATAAGAAGACTCTAAGACCAAACACTGGAGCGACTGATTCTGTGTCACAAATGCAGACCAGAAGTGGTTATTATAGTCTGAATGCGATCTCAACACAAATTTATGCAAATTATTGCAAAACAGTGTATTAAATGTATAGTCAGTGAAGTCGGCAAATGATTGGACACATAATTGTGACAATCGGTGGCAATGAGTGAGCGCTTCATTGTCTATATAGTCGTCAATATCACCGATTCGTGTGACCAGTGGTCCAAACGATGGCATTGTTTGCGCACTCTTTGACGTCAAATCGCAATATATTTCCTTTAAATTCTGACAATTGCCTCGAAATGTGTTCAACACTTCCGGAATGTGTTCTTCATATTCAGCGCTTATTCCTCGGCAGTCAATGCATTGAATATTTGGACACTTTATGGCAATTGTGGCCAACATTTGAACGTCACTTCTCTTCGCATTCAGTAATCTCTGCATTAATTCATCGCTAAGAGTGATGTCCACAACATTCACGAAGACTGTCCTCCGGAACTGTTTGGACACACATTCAAAACTGAATCGATCTTCAAATGTGAGATAAGACAAGAGTAGTCCACACATGTCATCACCGAATCTGTCCAAAGAGTTCTTCGCGTAAATCTTTGGCTAAAATGTGAGACAAAAACAATTAAAACTCAATAAATAGTCATTTGGTTATGAAATACCTGTTGTGTGTCTTCGTCTTCGCCGTCATCTGTGGTCTCGAGTGATGTCTTCTGATGTTTCATCTGTTGTGCCATATCTTGGGATCAAATGAAGTGATTGTTTGAATGAATTGTGTTTTTGTTGTGAAAAATGTGATAATATTTGCATTGAATTCAAAGCCAACACAA